ACTCCTTGGTGAAAACGGGCAGCAGAGAGACAAGCAAAAAATACACACAAAGAGTGGCCTTTCCAGATCTTCATTCCCAGTTAATGGGAAATGGGAGTTTATGGGAGTGGTGGAAAGCTTAAGCCAGTCTGTCCTTCTGCCATCCCTCGCTAAGACCCTGAGCACAGGCCTTGATGAGCAGTTTAGGGAAGCAGACGAGGGCTTGGGGGTTTGCAGCCCCTTTGGGAAGCAGACACAGCGATGTGATCACGTGCACCTTATGGGGAAGGATTTCCAGTCAGTTTTCCTCTCTCCTGTCTCAAGAGGGTTTGAGCTGAACTGTCTCCCCAGACTAAACTCAAGTGTCAGCAGCACTTTTTTGAGGTATTGAAAGCACTTAGCTCGTTTCTTTTCCTCCCAGTTTTTCCTGAGCTACGCAGGCGCCCTTGGGCTGGGTGTGATGGTTCAGGAGATGTGGTCCTGCCCACAGGGACAGACGCTGGGTGTGTGACTGGGGAATGGGACACAGTGTAGGACCCTGTGGAATTTACTTGTCCTCTGTGCTTCTTCTCAGCTTAAAGTTTTGTTGTGCTCTGTCTGTAACCATGGCCTATATCTCACTAAACACTGTAAAAATCTTACTCTCTTTCTTTTCTTCCATTTTTCCTCTCCTCCCTTCCCTTTTCAGTTTTTATTTTTATTTTTATTTTTCTCTTTAGCTTTCATTCTCTGGTCATAGTTCTGCAGGCTCCATGCGAAAGGGGGAGCTCTCTGGTGTCTGCTCCACGGCAAGCAGAGCATCCCTGCTGCCGCCCTGGTGTCTGTGGTGTCGCCTGGCATCCCAGATCTCCCCAAAATGGAAATCCGTGAGCCTTTTGGAAGGCCTTGGGTTTGGATACTAGCAGCACCAGCACGTCTCATTTATAACTATGAGCTTCTTGCCCTTGATGCTGGGGGGAATCTTGTTGTTTTCTGTTTGTTCCGGTGGCAGGTTGAGTAACTAGAAGACGAAAACATGGCAGCAGTTGGAGAGGGCAGGTTAGGGCATTGCTACTGGCTGGTGGGAGGCACCGAGAGGAAGAATTCCTGTTGTACATGAATATAATGCTTTCATATGAATTGTATAATTCAAATAAATATAAATATAAATAGCCCTTACAGAAATATGTTATTTTTAACTGTGTATACTTCTCTTTGATCCATGTTTTTATGTATTTCCTTGTTTCAGCCTTCTGAGGAAGCTAGAAATGCTCGTACTGTTATTAACAGGAAGACAGCATTGGTTACCAAGCTAGAAAAAGAGACATTACAGTTTCAAAAAGCCCCAGTATATCTTGTATTTTGCCACTGAAGATGGCAGAGCTGTTAGATCTTTGCAGCCCTGTGAGACTGAAGAGGAATTAGGACGTCTGGAAATGTCTGTGCACGTGGAATCTGCGCCACAGCAATCCCTGACTGTGCGTTTTCAGCTAACCTGATGAAGAAGAAAGCCAAAAACCCCTTCCCTCTCTTTTCTTAACAGTTAGGGGCTTCTTCCAAGGAAGCCTTTTCTCTGCTGCTTGAAATCACTTTCAGCTTTACATAGAAAGCAGAATACTAATTCAGATAAACTGAATATGTTTTGATTCCCTGCTAAGCAGGCAGTAAATTGCTTCTGTGTGGAAGTGAACATGTCCTGTTTTCTATGTCACTCATTGATATTTGTTATTCATAGCTATTTAAGAATCTATCTTGAAAGATTTTAAAAAGAGCTCCGGAGTAGTAACTCACAAAAACTTAAATGTGAGTGAAAACAAAGTGTTTCGGTCTTTGGAACCAAAGTATTTTGCAACCAGTTCAAATAAGGAAGAGAACAAATTGTGTTGTGGATAGTTTCAGAAGAATGTGTTTGATCTGAAAAACTGAGGCCATGGCTCATGGTTTGTGGAATATCCCACACACCCAGTCTGGGGGAAAAAAAGCAAAGCCGTGTTTGAACGCTTTGGGAAACATGGTGGTATTTTTTTTGGAGGTTTCAGTAGACCGTGCCCTACAGCACTTTGAGAAAGATAGCACAATAATTTATAATTTCCTGTTCCTGAATGATGGCAAAGACTTACCATTGCCCCATGGAAAAGTTCAGCTGAGAGAAAAATGAAGCTAAAAGCATGTGTTATCCCTGATGCGAAGGGCCTGGAAAGTGGGGAAAAGAAAAGATGTTACTGCCTTAAGCAAAGGAAGCACCAACTCTGCAGAGGACAGTGCCCCAAAGGCTGTGCTCAAGAGTCAGGAGAGAAAAATGAATCCTCTCTAACAGATGGAGGAGGAAAGAATTGGAAATAAATGACATGGAACGGTGATTCACCAAGAGGCAAGCGCACACATCTGGATTTAGCAGAGATTAATAAGGACAACATCGCATCTGGAATTTTGCATGCTTAGGGTGGTCCTAAAACATCCAGAAGGACCAATTGGCAACGAGGAAACTCTGTTCCTTGGAAGTACAAGACAGAAAGTGAAACCAAAGAATTACTGAAAGGTAAGGTGGATTGATTAACAGAAAGCTGATTTATTTTATAATTATATATATTATATCACTGTTTCTTCATTACATCATTAGGAGTCAGTCTTGCTCAGGTCAAAATATTTAATATAATAATGTGAGTGAATTTTTATCTGACCAACTTGTTTATGTAAAAGTTGTTTATCTGCATTTTACTTTAATCTGTCATTTAGGTATTGTATTTCTATATGATATTAAGCAAGTGCTAATTTTATTTTTTAGATCTGTGGTCATTCACAAATATTATTAGTTGGATAATGAAATACATGTCAAATTTGTATGAACAGCAAGCAGTCATAGTACTTCTAAAGACATTTATCTCAAATACAATAGAAGAAAGTAATTGTTTTGCTTGCGAATTAAAAGACATTCCTGAATAATATTTCTTTAGTTAGTGCATCCACGTACCTTTTCTCCTGTTTCGCTGGGGTGGAGTTGCTGGCCTGGTGAGCAGGGTGGCGAGGGAGCGGCTGTCCCTGCTCCGCTGCTCTTGGCACCTGCAGTGGGAACCGCGGGGTAGTTCCATGGGCAGCCCCACAGGAACCAGCCTGGGCACTTTCCAGAGGGCAGTTTCATTTCTTGTTTGGGTGGGCTCAGGCTATTGGAGAAATCTGAATTAAAAAATATGGAACGTAGAATGACATCTTCTCCCTCCCACCACTTCTAATCATTTGCTGCTCTGGTACTGTCTGCCTTTGAACCCAATAGATTGACGTAAGAAACAACTTGAAACTTACATCTTGTTTAAGCAGCAAAAGAAAGAAGTTCTGTTCTGTGCTATTTATATATATACTTTTTATATAAATTTAAGAAAAAATGATGTTGACTGGGGGACCAAAACCTGTGTAAATAGCTGAGTAGAAAACCATGGAATAGTAGAGGGCAGTTTGTCATGCCCAGAGAGACCGTGCTTCCTCAACTCCTTTCTCCCTCCGTAAAAGAGGAAAAATATTAAAATCTTCAAGAAACAATGACCTGAAATAGAATTCCCAGCCTGCAGTCAGATCGGTACCAGGAATCCAAGCAATCACAGTCCTGCTTGGAGCCAGTTCTGGCTGGGACTCCCCATCACTTGTCAGTGGTACAACTGGTACAACTTCTCATAGCAACTTTAAGGACTTATTTTCAGCTTGAAAGGAGCCAAAGGAGCTTGCAAGGAGCTGAAAGTCTTCTTTTTGTACTTCATCCCAGCAGTTTTCACGTATTTTTTTTCTTTCTAGTGCTTTTTCTAAATTGAATGTCTATTCAAATCTTAATTCTAACATCTGCCAGAGCTTAACGCGTTTGAACTCAGGTTGTTGACTTGCTGCTCTGAGTAAGATCCCCGCGGGGATCACTGCTTTGGGATTAAACCACCACAGGATGTCCACATGCAGAGATACATGCAAGAAGCATTGAAAATTATTTGTCTAGATGGTGCTTGCTGGCAATAGCCTAGGCTTAGTGCTATTTGCGACGATGCTCGCTGTACTTGAAGAGCTTGACTATGTCCATCTCCAAACAGGGTCCTCCACCAGCTCGAATCCTGTGTTCTGCCAGCAGCGCCCTACTATATTTTAAATCAGGATTTGACTGAGATCCATGTGTGACCATGGGGAGCTTTTCTTAGAAAGAGCAGATTTACAAAGTTGGCAAAGCAAAACCACCAGGAGAGGCTGAGCCAGGCTGCACTCACACACATGGTTGACCCGCCTAGCTCGAGGTCCATGCATGTGCAATAGTCCTGGTTATAAATGTGTGCCTCGTTTCCAATAGCCTGTTGGATTTGCAACAGTTACGAACAAAAACACGTTACGTTATGATTAGAGGTGCCTGGGAATGTCTGTTGAAATGAATTTTCAGCAGAAAGCTAGATTTTGGCTCGGTGTTTTTTAAGATGAATGTTGCTTCCCTTGGATCAGTTTGGAGCTCATACGTGTGGCTGTGCTCCGGGCCTGCCCAAGGACACCCTACGAGCAGCGGGGGGACGTCCCAGCAGAAGGAGCGTGGAGCTGCCCGCAGCCCTGTTTGCACAGGCAGGATGTGGCTCAGCTGCACACACCCCATTCCCAAATGCTGGACCTGGAAAGAGCCATTTGGGAGCCTTGCTGGGGGGATAGCTGGTTTCTGCCTTCAGTTCTGGCTTCTCTTAGTTTGTGACGGCCTAATCCCTCAGCGAGCTCCGACGAGGTCCTGCTGTAAGTGTCTGTGCCGTGCACACACGCAGAGAGGAAGGTGCAGCGCCCGCTGTTCTGCCCAAGCCGTGGCTCGGTGCACGCGCTGCGTGGCGGATACCCGTGCACGGAGCCTTCGTTTCCCTGCACTTTGCATTTCCTTCACTCGCCCGTCGCCTCAGACGCGGGTTTAACTGTGCTCTTTGCGGGAAGGGCTGTGCTGCTGGCCCTGCTCCCTGCTCCGCACGGCAGGAGCAGGAGCAAATGCACTAAGGACTCAGTGGACGTTTTAAATCCTAGATTTCCTGTCACTATTTTGTTCCGCAATGCCAGGAGCAGTGGCGCGGCATATACGAAATGCAGCGTTTCCCTTCCATTACGCACCGGATCGGAACTTCCATGCGGGCCGAGCGCTCCCGTTTGCCCACGGAGCCGGCGCGGAGCGGGGGAGCCGCCAAGCGGGGCCTCCTGCCGCAGGGACCGGGCTCAGCCACCCGAACCGGCCCGTGGCCCGTGCCCCAGTGATACCAGAAACGGGAGGCTTTCAAGGACAGGTAATGCCAGACTGTTTTCAAATAAATGAGTAAATTTGTCACTAAAATAAAAACGTTTTTCTCAACATTAGCTTTTAGATCTGCAGAAGGGCATGAGAATCCCCAAAATTGTAAGTTTTTCCAATGATCTTCGGAGGCTTAATCATAAATTGAATATCATTTTTTAAAACTCCCTTAAATATTTGTTTATTCAATATAAATAAGGATTGTAAAAATAAATAGCACCTCAAAAGAAACCTACTTAGGAATGTTACATTACTGTTCTGTCATAAAAATCTACTTTACCTTTTCTAAATTCAGTCATAAAAATAGAATCTACTGAAATAACCTTTAGCTGACAATTACACTAATTAATAAGTAATTAAATAAGCAAGAAGAGTTCAAATGTAACATCATTTTCTGCGACCGGTTCTGCGTAGGAGGAGCATTCCCAGGGATCGCCCTTGTCCATGGTCTCAGAGGATGGATTTCTAGCAGAAATTGTGCTTACACAGGCTTGCACAAAGGGTGGCCACTAACTCCCTTGTGCTTGTTAGCGATAGTTATTTGACCAAGAAATTGGTCACAAGCTCAGAACAGGCTTTAGGATTTGTTTTTCGCCTAATGTCCGTGATGTGCAGGTGTGTGCACACATAAATGAGGAGATTCAGGACTGGTCCTTGCAGAAGTCCACGTATGCAGCGCTTGAGAAAGAGAAGTTGCTGCCCATTGCTATCCCTCAGCATCTTTTCCAGATAAACTCCTCCTGATAAATGAATTAGAGGTGCTGCCCTATGTTAAATTATATGGACGACTGATGCAGAAAACCTGGGAAGGCCACAGGGAGGTGGTGCCCACCCGGTAAAGAGCTGGTTCGCTCCAGAGGAAGGACACGTCTGCGCGGGGAGACCCGTCGGCTCGCGACTGCTGCAAGGGCTTCCAGCTGGTAACAGAGATCACTGATGAGACTAACACGTGGCTTGTTTCAATATGAATTAAAATACTGAACATACTAACATTACAATAAGATTATTAAGATTTTTTCAGTGATAGAAGGAATGTCTAAATCATCACTTTTTTTGAACATTACATATTTCACAACTGTAGGTAAATGGCTTTCTCTCCCCAATCCAGTAATTTTTGATTAATAATAAATCAACTTTAGCCTCATTTTGGCCCATAATCTTACAAAACACATATATTATTCAGATTTCTTAGCCCTGATGTTTGTTACATCTGTACAAATATTTTGTAGGATGATACAGCAGCATTAACATTTTTAAGACAGAATTTACAGACAATCCATGTGTTGTAGGCACCCTGTAGGAGTTAGAAATAGCAGATTCACATCTTTACAGTTTAACCTTCTTATTTAAAAGTGAATAGCATACAGGACTGTCTTCACCTCCATCACACCCATGCTGAATGTCTCCATATGAGCCTCTACCTTTTGTAGCTTATTTTTCCTTAGATCACTTTAGTGCTCTTTTTAATGCATTTGCTTTAATTGTGAGAAATGTTTTTTTGTAAGGTCAGAAGCAGAGAGGATCTTTAGGGGATACTATGCGCTACTCGCGCTCAGTGCTTGCTTGGCTGTTCTGCAGGGTGCATCCTGCATCTACGTTTCTGTGCGTTTTAAAGGGATTGTAACTGGCCTGTGTTGTAGGGGTGCGAAGAGGGTAATGACCTACTTTATTAGAATATTAATTGACAAGTCTTTGTTGTACCATACATCCAAAACAGCCCCAAAATCTTTGTTCAGTGTGAACTGCTTATGGGAGATTCAAGCCTTCGGGCAGTCTTCACTTCACGAAATGGGATTAATGGGAAGCTAAAGTGAGTGATTCAAAGCCTGTTCATTTTTTTTTACGACTTGATTTCTCTGTAGCTGTCTTGGTCCCAGTAAAGAGTAGACAGTGGCTCGGTGGTGTGCAGAGATTTCCTGCAGATTAATCATCAGCAATGTCTAGCAAACCGTGGGATGTCTCATTGCATAGAATTTCTGCTTTAACGTTTCAGCCGTTGATGTGAACTGAAGTGCATGGAGATGACAACGTCGGTGTGAATTTCGCGTGCCCGCAGACGAGGGCGGCCGCGGGCTGCGCCGTGGAGCTGCTCTGCGCTCCGGTTCTCGCTGCGCGGCGGTGTGCATCGGCGCTGGGAGCCTCCCTGCGACCCGAGCGTGGGTTTTATTGCAGTCGTCTGCACGGCTGCTCGGAGCAAACAGCCCCTCACACAGGACCTATATAAAACTAGATCATTAAGCAGCCTTATATGATTCTAAATCAAGGTCTCATGGTTGCAAAAGGAAGGCAGTTAAAATGCTAAGCAGCCGCTATTAACATTTCTTTCCTGAGCGCTTGTTCCCCAAGTGATGAAATGCCGGGAATTAACCCCGGTGGCTCCGTGCCAGCATCTTGCGCTGGCTCTCCTCTGAAGGCAGCCTGCAGCCGGGTAGGTCAGGGAGACACGCGGACAGGCTCGCCACGTCGCTCTCCTCACCGCTGGTTTTATGTTGGCTGAAAAAAATCAAATTCCAGAGTCCCAAACACAAGCAAATAACCCCGGGCAGAGTGTGCGGGGCAGGCTCCCGTGCAGATGGACGTGGAGGGGCAGCGTGGACGTGCCCCGGGGGATACAGGACACACAGGTGTCTCCGTGGACGTGCCCGGGGGATACAGGACACGCGGGTGTCTCTGTGCAGCGCCAGGAGGAGCCCTGGGAGCTCCGATAGCGGCAGCGAGGGCCACGCGAGCGGGTCGTGCTCGCCGCTCAGCCCAAGGAATTGCTGACCTTTTGCTAACCTAAACAAGGTCTCAAACTCGGTGATGAGGCTGGGCATGGGGAAGCCTGATTTCCCACTTGCTGTGCTCCCTGGGGTATTTTCGGAGGTCCACCTTAACCCGTGGCAGAATGCTCCGTGGAAATGGTGCCGTTGGAAAGCTGTGCCAGCTGCCGGGACAAGCGAGGAACTGCGGCCGCATCCTCGGCCGCATCCTCGGCTTCCCTGCGGGCGCTGCAGGACCCGCGGTCCCTGCAGGAGGGACCAGGGTGGCTGGTGGCTCCTCCTGAGCTGATACCTGGGCCTTCCCGGAGCCTCCTTTCCTTGTGCCCTTGGGCAGCCTCAGCCAGGGCAGGGCTGGGACAATCCTTCTGTCCCTTACTCTGTGACAAAGGCGGCAGTAACCCTGGTGTGCTCTGTTTGATATACGGTGTATAATCCCTGCAAGTGTTCTTGCATTGTGATGACTTGAGAAAAGCTTTCTCTGAATTTAGAAATACTGTAGGCTTGTGTACAGGAATGGCAATTTTTTTCATGGTGCTTGTGTCCCTTTCAGAATATGATGATCTTTTCCACACCCTCCTCTTGGAAAGACTCAATTTGGGGTCGGTTAAACATTATAAAATACCAGGTTAAACACCTTAATTAACATTTAAAAGGGCCTTTGCATCTGCTAAGCATTCTGGCAGCTGCTGATTTGAGGCAGTTAGTGGGTTTATTGGTAAAACATTGATTGTTCCCATCTGCCCGTGCTGGGGTGGGAGGTTGCCTTTCTCCAGGGCAGGCAGCAGTTTCTGTCCACTGCGTTTACTGCATTTGTGTCTGTAGGCCAGGAAAGCCCGGAATGGCTCCGGCAGGGAGCCCGAGCCGTCGGAGCAGAACGTCCCGAGAGCTCGCGGAGCCGCCAGCCGCTGCGCAGCCGCCACGTGGGCTCTGCTGCCCCTTAGCCGCTCTCTGCCGCGTTCCAGCAAATAGCGAGGACCAGGCTTCAAGAAAATAAGGCCTAAAGGGCATAGCAATACTGGCTTGAAGAATTAATCAGCTGGAAAAGCTGTTGTAAAGTGACCTCGTGTTTGGAAGGCATTTGCATTTGCAAATGACTGAAAGCGGGCGCGTGCACGCGCATGCTCACACACAGCCTTGATTTCTGAGGCTTGCAGCACGGAAAACCGTTTGGGAAGGCGTTGTGCTGATCTGCAATAGTGAAGCAAAAGAAAAACACATTTCTTTGATCATGATCCAACATAAATTTTCAGGAACCCCCATTTCATCTTTGGGGCTTCCAGACAGCAAGAAGTCTCTTTGCTATCTAGAGAGAAACCAAGATATTCAGTCAGCCAAAACAAATAATCTCCATCCATCTTCCATGTTCAGTTCACTTCAGTTGAAACCCGTCCTCAGAGACATTACCAGGTTACATTCGCCCCATAGGCAAATTTGCAAAGAGGCAGTATTTTCTGTAATCTGACCTCCAGCTCTTCCAGTGACATATGAAGTGTGGAAAAGCGCACACCAAGAATAGTAAGAAATCTTTTATATTGTCCACATTAGCAATCTATTTATTATCTTAGAAAAAAAAAAAAAAGAAAACTCCCTTATGCCTCTATCCAGGACATTTTAATCTGATATTATTATAATATATATTGATGATTCTTATATTCTTTAAATTTCAAAACCAAGAACCTCCCTTTATGTGCTCTTACTATAATCCTCCTGGAATTGGAGAAGTTGAGGCAATTATCAGGCAATTTCAGAAACTGATGTAAGCTGAAACATATTTTCCTTGTAGAAAATAACATTTATGTCAACAGGGAAGAAGGATGAATCATGGGATAGCTTAAGTTTTTTTCAATTGCTTTTCCTCTCTGTGATTCAGGCTGTTTCCACCCAAGATGCAGCTGCTTTTAAGATGGGTTTCCCTCAGACACTTCTTGTTTCCTATTTTTATCCATTTCTGGGGAGTGCACGGAGTGCTGGAAAACGCCTCGGGGAGCGACTAGGCTATGTCGTATGCACTTTGTATCTAGGAATAGGTGTGTCACATTCAATTAGGGACCTCATTTTTAAAATATATATATATGCTTCAAATCACATTCCTAACTATTGATTTACTCTGTGAGATTCACTTCTAGAAACATGAAGTATAAAATTCACCCCAAGCAACTCTGCGTTGGGCAAAGCTGTGGGGGTGGCGGTAGGAAATTCTGCTCTCGCCTGGCTTTGTCTAAAGAGAAACCGTCCCGGTGACTGATTTCCTTCAGGTTATAAATAAGAATGGTCACTAAGTGATGTGTGCAAGGGTCGCTAAGTTAAGAGGCTGTAAAGTACACGTTGTTGAACCGAAGCAAGTGTCTCCTGTTCCCAGCGCAGCACTAAAGCCCGCAAACAGAGCGTGTTTTGAGCTGGCGCGCTGCAGGAGCGTGCGCCACGGGCTGCAGTGTGAACCCTGGCAGGTCTGTGAAGCCGTGGGTGCAGCTGGGCGCTGCAGCAGCGCCCTGGGAAGGCTGCGCGCGGGAGGGAGCTGTGTTTTGGCGTGGGAAGCGGCGCCGTCGTGGGGCGGAACGAGGGGCCGTGGTGCGGGCTGGGGTGACTCCCCAGGGTCCCCTCCGCGGCCGGGGCCACCCCGCGCGCACAGATTCCTGGCTCTGCCTTGCGCTCCTGACATGCTGCTGGTACCTGGGGAACTGTACCAGCATTTACTTGAAGTCAGGTTTCTAAGGGCAGGATGAGTAGCTTTCATTGCTGCGTGAGCAATGAAAAACAAAAACATGATGAGAATAGAAGAATGCAGCCTAGTCTCTTCTGGTGCGTGTGTGAGAGCCAAAGCCGCGTTGCCTTACACCGTTTTCTGGATAATACAGCTCTCACGGAGCGGTTTTCATCTGTTTAGGTACGCGGCTGTAATGACGAGTGGGTGGAAACGGTTAAAATCCGGCGGCGCCCTCCTGGCTGCGGTCGCTGACCGTGAAAGGCGGGAGCGCTAAGTGGGTCAGCCGGGGCTGCGCGCGGGGCCCGGGGCTGCCGCGCGTCTGTGCGGCCTCGCGCCCCGTGTTCCTGCGGGGGGTTGTCTGTTTTCCAAGAACAATAACAGACTTTGCCAAAGCAGCGGGCTCAGTGGAAAAATAGGTGAAAAACCTGTCGGGAGATACCTTGCAAAAAGCACACCTGCAGAATGCTTAAATGCCAAAGTGAAAATAGCAAGTCAGCAATCCAGGGGCAAAATGAGGATGTTTCACTGTGATCAAATAGTCTTTGCCCCTGGTAGGAATGCTGCTTTTCCATGAAGTGGCCAGAAAAAAGACTGGCCTTAATTGCTGACTGCTGAGATACCTGAGGCTGATGGCTGATGTTGGTGCCGCCGAAGCCACTTGAACACGGTGCTGAACGTTGTCACAGTGCCAAATATTCCCTGCTGGCTTGGCAGCTCTGCGGGTGCCCAGAGCTGCACGAGGATGAACGGAGCTTTCTGCTCAGCAGGGAAACTGCGTGCGTGGTCTTCAACCACTCGTGTGGCTCAGGCAGGCAGGGATTAGCAAAAAAGAACATAAAATAACAGCCTGCAATAAGAATAGGGGTTATAAATGCCATAAATGTCCTCATTTGGTTCTTTGTTCTGGGCGATGCTGTGTATGGACCTCTTGCTAGAGGAAAGGGAAGGCAGATAGGAAGCTGTGCCTCGTGGATTCCTCTTAGCATGGAAGTAGGAATTTTCCTTCTTAGCATCAGTCAAAACTGGGAAGATAGGAAGGAATTTGTTTTCACATGTATGCGTGACAAACCTCTGTTTTCCATAATGGGAGTGGGCCCCAACTCTTAATTTTTTGGGGATTTATATAAGAAGAGCTCTCTGAAGTGACCATTGCTCATGGAATATGATGGAGCATCCCGTTGGAGACGGCTTTATTGTTCTACCTGTGAGCTATTGGGTTTCGTAGATAGCAAAGGAAGTTCTTTGTGCCCTTCCCTGCTGCACCTCGCAGGAAGGACAGAGCTGCTTGGGCTGGTCGGCTCTCATCCGAACTAATTTAATCACAAAGAAACACTGGGGAAAGGAGCAGAAGGGCAGGTCAGAGCGATATCGGTTGGTAGCTCCCGCACAGTTGAGGACCTTGAGGCTTTTGATATTAGCATTTGGTATCGAGATAGACGTGAGGAAAAACAGAAGAGAAGCCAGGGGTTGTGCACGGGTGACACCAACCAGCACCCACGGCCACCCTCGCACGGCTCCTGCAGCGCAGCAGAGGCGGCGGCAGCCGGAGCACCAGGGGCAAACAAAGCAGGCAG